GTTAAAGGAAATACTAGGAGAGAGGTACTATTATAGTGTCACGAAAAGGTACTTTTAAATATTACCATTAAGAAAAAAAAGAACATGAAAAAGCCCTAAGCTTGCAATTTTTCTTTCTGCAATTAATGGATCATTCGATATTTTATTGCCTATTGCCTGTAATTTGCATATTAATGACATGCAAAACATGATATATAATATTAACTAGGATTCCTTAATAAAGAGACTTGAATTTATTATATACTCTCCATTATAAAGTAGCCTTGAGTAGGCAGTTACTAAGGCCATCAGATTTTCTGCAAATTTGATATAATTAGTGCCAAATTTGTATGGTAAGGAAGTAATTCCATACACAAATGTCATTCTTATACCTTGAATTAATTTAAATGATAATTTCTAGCTATCCAAATAAGATACTAGGTTTTTCCTAATAAATGGCTTAAATACTGCTTTTTGACTACTTGATCAATAGGGTGTTATGACATTGCACATGCATTTAATAATCCAGGAGTTCCCTTTTAAGGAAGAACTTTCTGTAAGTTAAGAAATCTTAGCCTGCACATTCTTGTCAGCTCATAGGCAAAAATAATGCTAGCTTTGAAATCCTGATAGCAAATTGAGTACAAAATCATGAAAACAAATACACCAGAAAGTACTGGGGGATATGGATGGCTGATTTTGTTGGTCTTGTTAGCTCATAATTTAAGCAGTTTTATAAATAGACTCTCTATTTGCCTACACAGAAATAATTTTTTTATATTCCTTCCCCAAAGGAAAAATACTGTTGCTCCAAAAGCATGATCCTAGTTTTTATTCTATTCTACTTTGCTTCATTTTTGTAGAATATTGAATATGTCTCTAGAGAGCTGAGATCAAAAAGCCTCAAGCACGCAGGAGAGCTCTGGTAGCATAATAACTAACTGCACAACAGCTGAACCACTGTAAGCATTGCTTACTGAGTACTGTTAACACACCACAGCAAATGAGGTCAATAAACTTAAACTACGTGAAAAAGGCAACATTTTTCAAAAGGAAGACGAGTAGACCACAGAAGTGCTCTGTTAGAGATACACAGCTGTTAGGTGCTTCCAGAATAAACCATTAAAATTTGATCATATTTCATGTCTAAAACCAAGAAATGGCTGATAGCTTTATGGCAAATAAAGCAGGAAAGGTTAAAAGATCTAATATATAGCCCTGCTACAAGACACTGAAGCGATGTAAACAGTCTATGCCTTCACACACGTGCCAGGTCACTTGCTAATTCTTCATTAAATTTCCACCCACAGGACTGAAGCTAAAAGAACTAAATATGAGCATATTTTTTTGTGCAGAAGTCAGCCATCCCTCCCTTAAATAACAAAGGAAAAAGAGTTTTGCATTTCTGGCTGATTTTCCACTGAAGCTTATTAAATAATGATCATATTTTCTACCTTGCTGACTGAGCTGAGGGGCTAAATCTCCTAGTGACTGCTGGTGATAGGCAGTCAGAACATGTAACATTTTGAACTGCTCCATGCAGAGTCATTAAGGAACATCTGCCTATGCTGCTGCTTCTAGAAGAGGAACACACTTGCTTCCCTTTGACATTTCTTTCCCCTAAAGGGAAAAAAGGGTTTGTAAGTGCATTTTACCAGCAATTAACTTTTCCTTGCATCAGCACTCTCTTCCACTGTTACAACTCACAGTATCCAACATACATACACAAAATTCTTGCCAGACTACTTGACTTTTTTTTAGTAACAATCTTCTTGACCAGTAATACTGCAATTTAAAATGTGCTTCTTACAAGGCTCCCAGATTCACAACACAGAGTCAGATGAACCCCGCGTGAAAAAAAAGTATTTGAGAATAACTGTTTTCTTTCATTAAAAAAATGCCCCTCCCTTGGTATCCAGGAATTTGTTTCTAAGATGGAAACATAACTGAGGTAGCTCTCTGACCACCAGGTACTCTCACCTTCCTAGGTATTCATATTAGACTTGGTTTCAGAACTGCAGTCCAGAACAGCAGGTTTGGTTTGAGCTCCACTGGCAGAGGTTTGAGCTTGGATAGCATGGATATCTGCAGTATGTCTAGTTCCTGTCAGCCCTGTCCAAACTGCCTCTGTTAATGAAAACTGATCCATTTTCCTCCACACTTCTTCAAGAGTTCATTTGAATTTCTCATCCTATTTCAAATAAAAAGGACTATGCTGAGAAAACATAAGCACATGAAAATCCCATAATAGCCAGTAGATGTTACAAATCCATAGCTTGAGGCAGCAGGGAGTGACACCACAAGTGTCTTATAAAAAAGTCACCATGCATCTAAACTCCATGCTATTGCTAAACAGATACAGAAATACACAGAACTGGGAAGCATGAATCAACATGCCATGGGTCCAGTGTCTGAGGGAGAAGTTTGAACGACATTATTGGTATTACTTAATAACTACTACACAGTCATGCATTCTGCTACAGTTGAATACTATACAAATACACCCATTTCATGAGAAGTGAACTACAAAAAAACAGCAGTCTGTGGCCCAAAGCAAACAAAACATTGCTAAAGATTTGTACTTTTTGTGGCTGCAGCCAAAAATGTGCAGAATAGAAAAAAATGCATGACTGAAGGTATAAAAACTTACTATAGTGTACGTCTTCAGAAACAGAAATAGCAGAGCAGTTGTGGTTGCGCTGCAAAGAGAGAGAAAAGACAGCAACACACACGGACCTCTTTTTGGGAAAAAAAAAGGCCAACTTTATTGTATGGACATCCCGTATTTAAAGGGTGTTATGTGCAGTTAGGACAGTAGTTCATTGGATAATTGGGAAAAACATCCCTGGGACAGCATGTCCGGATGTCCCACGGGAAAGACACCAGGTGTTAATCTTTATTATGCATTCCCTTCTGTTTTTCACCATGTTATCACTCTGGGAGACTGCCTCCCTTAACTAAAGCTGTAGTCAGCTTGTCAGCCTGGGAATGGACCTGAGAGTCAGGAGAAATCCAGGCCTGAAAAGAATTTCCAAGCTGTAATTCCCTAGCTCTCTGAATGTGCGTGTCCACAAGCAGTACAATGGGAGCAGCTCTCAGAGTCGCTGTCCAAATTACCTGTTGGGATTCCCTGGATCTCTGTATTCCCCATACCAATACCTTAAGACATAATTAGCACTACATGCAAGGATATAATCGCCTCCCCCACTTTGGCTCCTGTTGATACCTTTACACACTTCTTTGCCTTTGAGGGTAGGAGGAGGCCCCTAGTGACTATGCAACAAAGAGAACAGAAGTCAAGATCTGTATCTTATACCTAGTTTACATATTTTGTATTCATCTCACCTGGGACAACACTGAGTGGATGAATAATGAGATCATTATCTCCTTATCAATGAAAATCTATAGTCACTGAGACAGGAAGCTGCAGCTGTGCAACAACACACAGCAGTATTGCATACTGGGTTAGAAACAAAAAAGAAAATAATATAGGCCATTTAAATTTAGGAGGGATTTTATTATAATCATTCTGACTGTAATATAACTAAGAAAATAGTGCTTTAAAAGGGAGCTCTCAAAAGTCCTAGGCCAAAAATTATTATAACAAATTTCCCATACAGCCATTTTTCAGCTGATCTGGTGTCAGATTTTGCTTCTTATGTGCTTGCTGTTTGTACTGCATTAGTCCACACAGAATTCAGAAGGGAAAGCATGTGATTTAAATTCCAGTTGTGCCATGAATTCTCTATAAGTGTAGTCTTATTGCAGAGGAAATTGCTTCTTAAAAGTCACATCCCAAAACAGAATTATTTGCTTTTCAGAAGTATGTTTTTGAGCTTCAGGTATAAATCATCTTTATTTCAGGTAAGTGAAAAGCATCTAGAGGTGAAATTCTAGCCAAACTAAAGAAATCAAGCCACACATACTTTAACAGTAGAAGTTTAGCAAAAGACATCTGAAAAAACGACTGCAATAAAACTATGCAATGTATGGGAAAGAAGTAAGGATCTTATTGTGCACAAATACTATTAAACAAACATACAATCAAAGAACCTGAAAAGTAAGTATTGATATAGTACAGGAAGTACAATATAAGAAGTATATGTAATTAGAGGTAGCTCTTGTTTATGTATTGATGCACATGATGTACATTACCATAAGATGAGAATGATGGCACTGCAACTAGTAAGCCATTCTAACTTGAAAATCTAAATGACTTCTTACTCTTTGACTTGTATTTTCAGTCAATGTTTATTCATTGCTAATAAGTTTCTATCAGTTGCAGCAAGGTTACAGAACATGTAAAAGCTATCTTATTAAACAAGGGTAGCAAATAGGTTTTCCCCACTGACAAGGATGTAGCATAAGAATAGGTTAATAGATAACTGCCATTTCCTACATATTTTCTCTTATTTCTTACCATGGTGTGGGAAATATCGAATAGTTCAATATTGACTAAAAGTTTTAAGTACAATATACCATGTAATTTAGTCCAGTCTCTTTTCCAATTCCTTTTACAAACGTCATTCAAAGTAGCTCTTCTTATACACTTCAGGAACAATTAGCTGCGAGGCAGAGTGTACTATTGTACTGTAGTACCACGCGTTGGCTGCAGCTTTGCAACAATATTACTTGAGAACCTATAAAACGCAAATTACTTGCAGTCTTTGTAATTCTAGAAGAAAAGCGGATACTGTCAATTCCTCTTAACAGCTCCCAGACAAACCCTGTGTCTTGGCGGAGCTGGAGCTCTTCTCGTTACGGTCGCATGGTAATTACAGCAGTTCAGTGCGAGGCGTCCATCGCCTGCCACAAACGCAACCCCTAAGGATGGGCTGCAGCCCCCGCAGGGGATCTATGTGGAGGGAAGTTTGTGCACACCGATGTTCTCGGCAACAGCCTAAAAAGAGAGGACACGTTTCCCTTCCCTCCGCCCAGACAGGGGCATCAGAGGAGACAATTCCCACACCCCCGGCCAGGGCAGCCTCGCCTCCCCGCAAAGACTGCAACAGCGGACTCACCTTAGTGAGCTGGGCAATTTTCTTGCACATTTTCATGTGCATTTCCCGATTGCATTCCTCTGCCGAGCTGCTGCGAGAGGCTTTAGAACCATTGTAAGTCCCGGGCTGCTGAATGTTGTTTATGCCAGAGGCCATTAGGCTTGAATTTTAATCACGTCTGTCTGCGTACGCTCCGGGTAGCGCGATCCCGGCCGCGCTGCTCGCCCCCCGGCTGGGCTGGGCACTCACAGCCCCCGCTGCCGGAGGAACTTCAGCCCCGCACAGGGCACTCTCCAGCCGCCGCCGCTCCCCCTTCTCTGCAGATGTCCCAGTCCTTCAGGAAAACACCCAGGCGAGCAAGCAGAGAACAGCATGTGCAAACGTCCTGATTGGGATATTTTTTTCCCTCCCCTTCTCTTCAAATGGTTGAGCTTCCGCCAGGAGAACACGCCAGCGGCTGGGTGCTACAAATTTCCCACTCAAGACGCTGAGCTAGCCTAGAGGCAATAGCACAGGCATTGTCCGGGATCTGTAGCAGAGGTAGCCTGAATATTAAATCATGCTCTCTTCTTAAGTGTCAAAGGACAGCAGAGGTCATCTGAGAAGAGAGTGTTGGCACCTTTCATAAGCTCTGTTATTTTGGCAATCCTCTCTAAACCAGGATGGGTCCATAAGTGATGAAGAAAACCTTGGCTCAGTTTTTGCTGCTGTGTTGAAAGCAGAATGGGAGCCAAGGGGCCCAGGAGCTGTGTCCAGTCTGCTGCCTTATTCAAGGAGACTCCACTCCCTTCAGTTACACTACAGGCACCGGAAAGGTGCCTGAAGAAAACTGACAGTATTACAGGGGTTTTTTTGTTGTTGATTTTTTTTTTGTTTTGTTTTGTTTTGTTTTGTTTTGTTTTTTTTAAATATGCACACTGTTTCAAAGCGATCAGGCTTGGATACGTAAAATAAATAAAGGGACAGAAAAACCAGAAAAATACGCACATACACAAAAGGCAAGCTATTAAGATAATGGGATTTTTTAAGAGTGAAGTATTATGCAAGAAGAAAACTGTTGGTGAACACGTTTAAACAAGTCTAGAAGAGAAGAAGTAGGAGAAGGCCAAGTAGGATGAAGTGAGAGAGGAAGAAAAGAAAGAACAGATAAGGGAAGCCAAGAGTTGCCCAACACCCCTTTGCAGTATCACTGCAGCCAGCACAAGAGATCTGATGAAAGGGCCAAGGGCTTCTCCTCAGGCCCTGATGACTTGCAGCCAGCCAGAGGGGCCGTGAGGCTGCTGCTTCCCTTCTGCCCCCACCTGGAAAGGCAGGCAGCTTTCCTGTCTGATCTCCTGGCAGTACTTGCCATCCTTATTGGGTGAGAATCTTCCACTTTGCCAGTGGTGGGCTTAAAAAAACGAGCTTCCTGAGGACTATCAGAATTGAGGAGGATATCTGGTGTCAGTTAATGGTAGGGCAGAAGGAAAACAGAAAAACCTTGGTGAGGGCAAAGAGAGACAAAGAACTGTTAAGAATAACACTTCTAAATGGAAAAGATCAGGGCAGAAGAGTGGGGAGAAGGACCACTGTAAAGATGTAAGAAGATGAGACCTTGAGACAGGGAAACCAAACTCTTGATTGCTGGGAGTAAAGGAGAGATTCTGAATCTCCAGAGGCAGAAAGAATCTTCACTCCAGGAATGAGAGGAAATTAAGAATGTATAAATGAAAATGATCACAGTTGCTGACAGATGCTAAGCAGGGAAATGATGTTTAGCTGAGAAAGAACAATAACTAGAAAAGGTGAGAAACAGATCCTTGCACAAAGGAATGACAAAGTACAATTTCTTTAGTCACTGGCACTAGTGATCAAGATGCTGCTGGAACTTCTTCTGTGATTAGAACATAGGGACATGCCACTGCTAATTGTCTGATATCTGCTAGGATATGTACTCGCACATACGTTTAACTCAGTTAATATTTTATAATATTCTTCTCTATCTGGTCGTCAAATTGACAAAAATCCTAGGAATTTAATTATATGTAAGATTTGGATTAAATTGACAAGCTTATTAGGACAATCAAGAGAAGAGCAAGGGCAGGAGCAAAGTCCTAACACATTGTTTCCTCAGAAAAAAAAAATAGAACAAACTAAGTGAAAATAGAAGGCAAATTAAGAAAATTGCAAAGGCTTTTACAAGCACTTACAAGAAGTTACCTGTGTTACCACAGATATATTGGAAAATACTAGGATATTTTCAAGCAGGCTCTTTATGAATTTTGGGGCATTAGAGAGGAAGAACTTGAGACTTATATACAAGATGATGTTTTAGCAGAACATAATTTTTCACTGGTGAAGTATTCTCAGTTCAGACAAGACTTTTCAGGCAGTAATTCAAACCCTGGAAGTTTCAGTCAGATGTCATGCACCAGAAAATGCAATAACAGAGCACAAATTCACAGGTGACTCAAGTTCATTAGTTTCATTACTCAAAAAAACCCAACTTAGTTTCAATAATAATTTCAGCAGATAATGCCAGAATGTTTCAATGAGCATTTAGCTTTTCTTTTTCTTGTAACTGATCTAGGAATCACCTATAAATAAGATGACAAAACAAGGATGCCACAAAGCATGATCTGAATGTGTACTATACAAATATGGGTTTTGTAAGAATCACACGGAACACAAGTAGATTACAGAATGTGTCTGAACTTCGGACAGCAGATGGCAAAAAACAGTTTAAAATAAAAATCTAAAGAGAAAATGCATACACCTTTGCTTGAATTATTACTGCTGCATTAATTTTTGGTAAATTGTGAGAGAAGGTGATCATGTCACTATGGTTTTTATAAGTCTTTGATTAACTGCACACAGATTTGTAGCTTTGCTGTTCAGATATACATTACTTAATTTCCATTAAAAAAAAATCAAGCATGAGCAAAAGACTATAAGTGTTCCATTTTTGATATCTCCTGCTTGTTGAATACACAGACCATATAACTTCTGCAATTTCCTGACTAGCTACTAGTTACTTTTAAAAGAGCCATACCCTCGAATTCCAAGACGTTAAAAAAATTCCTGTTGCAAAGACATAAACTTGTTTATTATATAAAAAATATATTCCTGTTTAATACATAAATTTGCACCTTTGCTTAACACTGCAAACAGCTTTCCTAAAACACAGTTAACACAGTACAGTTCTTTCACTCTGTCTGAACCGTAGTGCTCAGTGAGATTTTTTTTTTTTTTTTTTATATACAACATCAAAGTTAAACTGATTCCCTGAATCACATTCTACTGCTGTTTTGCAGTCCAACAAAGTTTGCCTTTAAAAATGGTAGAAGAACAGTTAGTTATTAACTGTCATGTTATGTCAGAACTGATGACATGGGGCCCTGGGCAACCTGAGCTAGTGGGTGGCATCCCTGCCCATGGCAGCACTGGGGTGGCAGCAGGATTTAGATGATCTTCAAGGTCCCTGCCAACCCAAACCTTCCTGTGATTCTATGTTTCAAATGAAAAAGCTATATTACCAAAACTGACTTAAAACTTCCAAAGTTAGTGTGTAAATAAAGGAAAATGCAGCCTTAAGTGAGATTCTAATTCAATTCCTAAATCACTACCCTCATTTTTGATCTCCACTTACAATCAGTTTGGTCCTAGAATAGCTTTTTGACCCCAAAACAGAGAATCCAGGAGTTATTTTCTCTTTCTTTGACAAGGGGAAAAAAAAAACGAAAAAGGAAAATAAGAATTAAAATAACACTCAGAAGACATATGCTGCTCACCTAATTCACTATTCCACTTCCAACAAAACTTATTTTGGGATCGAGTGCAAGAGAAATGACAAATATAAAGTGTTGCCACTGATACATCTTGGGTAATTATCAACATCATACATAATAACCTATAAAAATATTATAGATAACTACTTTATATTTTTTATTACTTCCCACCTCATCAAACAGGATTTCAAAAACAGCAGAAGGGCTACTGATTTCCTCATTGACTGAAAACAGTAACTATTCAAAAATGTATATACAATTTTATAGCTGACTTACATATGTACGAGTTTTAGAGGAAGGTGGTGAACATAAGCTCTGATTCTATTGCATAATGGTGGTTTGATTATGGATGAAACATTACTATGTTTACATTTTTATGTTCTAATATGGAAACTGGAATCAACTAGACACATCATATATAAAAGCCCTTAAACACCTAACAGAATAGTATCAACTTCCATTTTTCGCTGTTTTGATTTTTTATCAAATGACCTACATTTAATATTACTAAAAGTAACTGGTATGAAGCAAGTTTGGCTTACCCTGTGGCACTGTATTTGCTCATGTAAGAGGACTGACAAAGGAAAGAGAAAGGATCTAGAACAGCAAGTCATGAGAAGTAGATCACAGCAGATGAGGTCACTACTTCAAAGGACAAGGAAAAAAGCTGGAATTAATAGACTGCTTTATCCTCCGGGCCTAAAGCACCATCCCGAGGTTCAGAGTTTCATCATTCTTTTCCAGATAGAACTGTGAAATCCCACTGACTATAACCTCTGGGCCTTCGTTACATCCTTGCCCTCCTAGTCAGTCATTATATCCATCCCTCAGGAAACATCTCGTCCTCACTGAGCCCCAAGAGTTAACTCGGCAAGGAACTGAAGGTGCAGAGTGGAGCTGGAATGGATTCCTGGGCCCACAGGCAAAGGCTGTGGCTTCAGGCCTCATGTGAGGCAGGTCAGGGCTCATTAAAGCTGATTAATGCAGTCAAGGGCCTGAAAAGTAAGCTGTAAAAACTATGATGGCAACAATTCTATCATTTGCAGAAGGTATCTGGTATCACAGAAGCATGGCCAGCATTTGTGATCCTACTTTGGCATGTTATTTACCTACAGATGAAATATCAATTGTACTGAGAATTTTCTATTTCTACCTGTAAACCCTAGCAGAAATATTTAAAGCAGCCTGTAACAAATAAATCTCACATCCTAGATGAAATCCATGGTAAGGGACTATAAAATAATCTCCAGGGAAGGTCTTCTTCTGTAGACCTGAGATGCAGGTAGGCACAACTGGGATACTAAACATTTGAATCAAAAATCATTCAGTTTGCATTATGATTTCACTTAAATGTCCCGTGTTTTTAATGTCACAAGAATCACAAAGACTTATCTGCTCATCTTCCTGTTTGCATCTTCTTGTTCAGAGAGACGCGTTCTGTTGCAGGAAAAAAAATCTGAAATATGAAAGCAATTATTCAGTAAAACATTAAATAGAAAGATTGCTAGCCATTGTATTTCGCCACAAAATTT